ATTTATTATTATATATTTTTTATATTATAATTCCAAATCACATTCTAGTTAATTACACTATGAATATATTCTTATTATCTATCTTTAATCTTATTATAATTATAGTCTAATATCTATTATATTATATTTTTAATTATATTAGTCTTTTTCATCTGTAATTAATAATATCTTTATTATATTATTTTAAATAAATATTATATATAAAATTATTAATCTATTATAAAATAATCTTTTTAAGTGATACCAAAAATGGTAATAATACTAGTTATAAAGAATATTATTTATAAATATTTATAAATAATTCTATAAGTATAATGATTATGATAAAATTATTATAACTAAATTAGTTAATTAGAAGTTAATTAATTAGTTTAGTTTTCTTGAGATTTTAAGTTTTATAAGTTTAGTTTTCAAATCATATTTTAATAGATTATAGTAAAGAGAATTCTAAAAAATATTTCTTATAGAATAGATCTTAATTAAGATTTATTATTTTATTTTATTTTATTAATAAATTAATTATTATATTTATATTTTAAATTATATTCTAACTAATCATATTATGAATATTATTATTATTTATTTTTAAAAATAATCTTTGATAAATCTTAATAGAAGAATATATTTTTATTAATATATTATAAAGAAACTTTTAATATTATAATTCTTAGTAAAAATATATATTTTTGATAGTTTAAAAATTATATTTATATTTAAAATTAATTTTTATATTAAAAAGATAATAATATATATTATTTATTATTTATTTTATTTATTTAAAGATTTTTAAATTCTTTATTACAAAAATTTTTATCTTATTATTAATCTTTATCCTTATAATTTTATTATTACTATATATACTAATAATTTTTTTACTAATATTATACATCTACTCTAATTTTATTTTCTTATTTTTTAATTAATATTATGATTTAAAATAATTATAATCTTCTCTTCAGATTCAAAAGCTAATTTTTTTTAATAAATATTTTATGAATTATTATCTTATTTTGATAAAGTTTATTATTTTATATAATCTTTATTTATATTTTTTTAATCTATCTTATATAAATTTTAAAAATGATAACTTAATTATTATTCTCTTATATTATTTTAATAATTATTTTATATAAAATATCTTCTTTTTCTTATATTTTGATTAAGATATAAATTTTAGTATTAAAAAAATTTATATTATTTCATTTATAATATTATTAATTTATATTTTACTTAAAATATTATTAATTTATATAATTTGTTTAAAATATTATTAATTTATATAATTTTATTTGAAATATTATTAATTTATGTAATTTTATCTAAAGTATATATGATTTTATTTAAAATATCATGAATTAATATAATTTTATTTAGCATATTATTAATTTTTATAATTTCATCTGATTTATTATAAGCTTGTATAATTTTATCTAATATATTATTAATCTCTGTAATTTTGTCTAATCTTTTATAATTTTACTTAATATATTATAAACTTCTTTTATTTTAAATCTAAAAAATACTTTATAAAATAATTTTTTATAAATTTTATAAAGTATTTTATTATAAATGATTACAAAAATATCAATCTATTAATAACTTTGAATTTTAAAAATTTTATTTCATAATATTTTTATTAGATATTAATTAAGTATTTGATTAAATCTCTTAATCTTATTTTGACTTTATAAATGACAGATATAATTTTTATATTTTAAGTATTTTGCAAGTATATTTTAAAATATTGATTATAAATTCTAATTTATTATTCATTTGAAGTTTTAAAAGAGAGTCAAAACTTATAAAAACTTTAATTAATTCATGATAAATTATATAGTCTTTTTTATTTTGAAATAGAATAATCTAAATCTAATCTAAAAATATATTAATCATTATAAGAATATAACTATAATTATTATTATACTTGACAAAAAAGTAAGTTAATTAAATTAATTTAAATATATTTAAGAGAGTTATTAGTTATAACAGATATCAAATTAGCTTTTCTTTGATATTAATATTTTAGATATAGGTTGAGTAGTTTCTTATATATTTCTTAACTTTATCTTAAATAATATTAATATATTATTTAAAGAATATTATATATTTTATGATACTTAAAATAAATAATTCTAATATAAAACTTTTTAAAGAGAGTTATTTTTAACTTTATATTATAAACTAGAATAATTTTTTTAAAAATAAACTAGAAATTTTTATTTTTTAGTAATTAAATATACAAAAGATAATTCTTTTGATAATCATATAAAAAATTTTTGTATTATCTTTGAAAATTCATTCTTTTTATCAGAATATTATACTTTATTACAAAAGTATCAAATCTAAAATATCTCAAAATATTATTAAAATTCTTAGATATATTTAGTATTTTTATTAGCTTAATTATTTTAAGAAAAAAGAATAAAAGATCAAAAATTCTATAATATATTTATTTAATATATAGTGATTATATTTATATTTGAATTTACTTAATATATAATATTTATATTTATATTTAATATATAAAAATTATAATATATATGATATCAATAAAATTATACTTATTTATATATCTTAATTTTAATATAATCTTCTTTTATATAATTAATAGAGATAATTTGATCTAGTATAAAATACTAAAAAATAATATGAATATTATAAAGTAAAATCCAATATAATCTTTTTTATATAACTAACAAAAATAATACAAAATATTAGAAAGTAAATAAATATTACAAAGCAAAATCTAGCATAAAGTATCTGAGAAACTAATGGTAAAAAGTATGACAAATATTAAAAAACTATGACAAATATAGTATTAGATTTATTAACAGTAGTTTTATTAATCACTATATTTTCACTTGATTAGTATTTTAATAACTTATTTAGTTATTAATTTTATTTTATTTACTGAGATATATTATAATATCCATCAAGACTTCTCAAGTTAAGAGCAGAATCATGATTTATTTATTTTAATATACTAAAAGATGATAATTTTGATAGCAAAAAATAAAATAGTAATATCAAGTGATAGTAATTTTGATGACAAAAAGTAAAGTAATAGTAATTTTAATAATAAAAAATAAAATAGTAATAATTTTAATAATAAGAAATAAAGTAATAATAATTTTGATAGTAAGAAATAAATAATGATAATTTTAATAGCAAGAAATAAAATAGCAGTAATTTTAAGATTCAAGTAAAAAGAAAATTTCATAGTTTAGCATAATTCTAATATATAATTGATGCTAAATCATATATTATAATAATTTTGAATAAAACACAATATTAATATCATCTATTCCCTAAATATTTTATAAAATTCAAGATATTTGCTTGAACTAGTTTAAATATCAATTTTAAGTATATTTAATAGATAAAATTATTATATTAAATATTCTATGCTTATTTTCCGAATTTTATGGTAAATAACAATCCTTGAAATAGATACATAGAAATTAAATGAGAATCTTCACAAACGCATCCATGCTTACAAGTAATCATACAATTGATAGCCAGCGACAAAATAGAAATGCAATAAATTGAATTAAACGAATATTTGTGTTAGGTTTGCTGTTGCTAGAGGATAATGCAAATAATAAGAACTTTATACAAGAATTTGAAAGGATAGTTGAACCACTTGAACATGAGATTGAAGGATTTTACGAATGCAAGAATCCAGCAACATACTTTGCAACACTCTAGTAGTCGACAATTGGCATTTTGGGTTGCACTAAAATATGTTTGTAATTAAGACTAAATCCTTTACATATTATTATGTGAAATAAATTCGTGATAATATTTGTGATCGGATATATCCCCGGAAAGGTGGTTATGATCGGTCATTTTTTCTTTACTATCACTTGGTTACTAAGATTTTACAAAGATAAATTCTAGATGCACTTATGTAAAAATATAAGATTTAATGTTAAATCCCATAACCTTTATGGCATAATGATTTTATACTAATAAGGGTTATTTAGGTTTAAATAATTTAAAAAATTCTATAGAATGACTAAAATTAATTTTATCAATTATAATAAAAATGCAGTTTGATCGACTTCTGTCGATGATGTTCTCCTTAAATTGTCAAGAATTTTATTCGCTCCTTTACCTATCAAAATATCAGCCAGATTTTTTCCAAGACTAATAGCAGCTTCTAAATCATTACCATCATCGTTATCTACATTTTTCTCTGCTTCTCCCTCAACAACATCCATCCCATCACGACTGGCGACCAGCGCACTTAATCTCAATACCCGTTTTTTTCTAGTACTCATTTGTTCTTCGAGGCTGCCACGGTCATGGGTCTCGATAAATTGAGTATACACCCCTATTGGAACACTGCATCCGCCTTCAAGAGTTCGCAGTAAGGAGCGCTCAGCTGTGCATCGTAATCGTGTATCTCGATCTTCCAATACTGCAAGTATTTCATGCAGTTGTGAATCATCGGTACGACACTCCACTGCTAATGCACCTTGTCCGACTGCGTGAAGAATAGTGGACTTCTCGAGAATTTGTGATATTCGATCACCACAACCTAATCTGACTAGACCAGCCACTGCAAGAATAATAGCCGAGTATGGCCCCTCGGGGTTATCTAATTTAGAGAGACGCGTGTTTCTAATGATAGCCATAAAAATAAAAATATGAATACACGTATCAATTGAACTTCTTAGATCAGCTAATACTTACAAGTTACCACGCTATTATAAATTAATCGTCAAGATCAAAAAAACATTCAATATACTAATAACACGATCATTAAAACACGAGCAATTTCATTTCTTACCACATCCTGAAACACCAAATGTGGGAATTTTCTCTTTAATTGTGCCACGCGTCTAACACTACTAGTCCCCACAATACTCCCACTTGGCAAATCCTCGATTTTTTTCGCGTCAAGACCTTCCTTTATTACCACCGCATCCTTAGGGTTCTCACGTCGTAGTATAGCACCCACACACATGCCCTCCGGCAAGGAAGTCGGTAAATCTTTAAGACTATGTACCACTAAATCCACTGTTCTATTTTCTAATGCGATTTCTAGCTCTTTTGTGAATAGATTTTTTTCGCCAATTTGATATAAGGGCTTCGAGAGAATTTGATCCCCTGTTGTGGTCATTGAGATTATTGGAAAAGAGAAGTGCGGAAATGCAGCAGCGAGCTTGTCATGCACTTGTTGCGTTTGTATTAAGGCAAGTTTTGATTTTCGAGAGCCAATAGTGAAAGTTTGCTTTGTTTGTGAGGACATGTTTGTTTGCGTGGACATGTTTATTTGCTAATCTATCTATAAAATAGGGAATAGGTCCTGTTAAATATTATTTTTTTAATTTGCTTGAGATTATATTTGAAACATCTTAATATAATTTTTTATTACGCTGACATAAGCTCGTCGATCTTGAAGGATAATAAAGGATAATGCAGTCAGTCGGCACTTTAGCCATTTCTGGACAAAGTGATTGCCATGAATTTATTTGTAATGCAGTCAACAGTTTTATGAATTATTGATTTTTTTTCTCTTTCCAATAACATTTATGACATATTGATTCACCAAGAATACGACCAAATGTTAATGGCGAGAAAAGTTGGGGGAATTTGGTCCCATGGATCTTCTTCACCCCAAGATCCCTACAATTTAGGAAATTTTCTTGTTGCTCTTTGTCCCGAGGCCACCACATTGGCGATGCACTAGTGCCACATTTTGCACAGACTGTTGGTGGCGGACGAGAGAAACCAGTGGATGCAAGATTTGGGTGTAACGTTGGTGAAAGACATTCCTTGGGTGGCGATGATAACGAGAGTGATAATGTGGCGAAGGAAGAAAGGGACGGTGAGTGTGTTGTATCCTGAATTGAAGGTGGCCTATCATTAGTGAAGATTAAATCTCGAAATCGGTAACGTCGCCTTTCTTCGGCCCCTTGGAATTGAAATTGTTTATGTATTCGAATGAAAGTATATATGGCCGACTAAAAAAAATATCATAATTCGTAGTAAAAATTGTAGTTATTAAAAATTGCTCAAAATTAATCATAGAAACTTACGAAATTATCATTGATCCCCCTATCACTTAATTTTACAAATGTTGCCAAAGATGTCCTGTGGTTCTGGCAAAATATCTTTGGTGACAAATCTCCATCTATCCCATTGCCAAAGTCTATCGAGTCAATATCAGACTCGAGTTCGTTATTGGGTATGATTTCAAAACATATCTGACAAGTAGATTTTTTTTGAGCACACGTTACGTGAAAGGCAATCTGACAATCGCTATGAGCACAATTTAACGTGGCACCACCTATTTTTTTACATATAAAGCAAACCTAGCAATATATAATGAATTATTATATGCTTTAAATAATAAAAATTTTACTTGTATAAATACCGTTTTCCACGAGATTTCGTCTACGTTCATAACATCTTCTATCATGCTAACAGACTCTGCGTCTCGGAAAGACACTTGAGGGAAGAATGCAGCGCATATAACATGACACCAATTATAACCGGCTGTTCTTTTCATAGCATTATTCTCTCCTTCGGGTAGAGCACAAAGAACACATTTACAAATCTATTTTTTGTTATAAATAAATTTAGTTATATCATGTTCAGATAACGACGACGTAAATCATATATGTGTGTGTGTGTGTGTGTGTTATATACCTTTGCCACTTTTGGATTCTTTTTATTGAGACAAGGATCACATCTCCAGATTGATGGCGTGTCTTTATAACCAACTTGGCCATAGCAATCTTTAAAAAGAATGAGTATCTATTAATAGTTAGAAGATGAAAGACGCGTCTACTAGTAAATTAGATTAAATTAGATACCAGAATGTACACACAAATTGCAATCATGACATGATAGAAGACGAGACATTGGCCTTAAGCCACCACATATTTTACATTCTGATTTTGGTATAGGTAGTGATGGACAAATCACAGTTCTCGCTGTAGAATTATTAATTAGAGTTAATTTTGTGTCTCTGATATTCTCTTTCTTCTCCACCTCAGAGCTATAATCACTCTGGGAGTTGTCTGAATTTTCGGAGGATAGATTGTCATTGGAATCATTAATATCCCAATGATTCTCTTTTTTTACTGAACTCCCGTTGCTTTGTAGTTGATAATGATCTTTACTCGTTCCTGTCGGTTGAACAGATTCATCTTCAAGAATATTATTTAATTTTTGTGATATTCGTCTTGGACGAACTTTCTGTCGTGTTGGCGATTGAGAGAATGCCAAAATTTCTGGTGGTCGTCTTTGTCTTTCCGATCTTCGAGGTGAAAATGCATTTAAATCTCGTACACTAGGGCCTTTATACTCATCATCCTCATCCTCGTAATCAGTGTCTGAATTTTCCTCTGTAAAGAAATCCAAATCAGAAGAATCGTCAAATATATCTTCATCGCTTGTTTCTTTAGAAACTACTTTTTTGCCTCTAGCTGATGCTGAATATGTCATTTGCGCGTTTTTATCTAAAGAATTTTTTTGCTCGACTTTTTTATACGCAATCTCATTAGATGTTATGTTCTTTGATTGTGCAGATTCATCTTCAGAAGAAAGCAATAAATCAGAGTCTAAATCCGATATTTCACCTTCTATTAAATCCATAAGATCGTCGTCTACTGTCAGGGAATTTAGGGTTCCTTCTACTTTAGGTCTGTTTACATTTTCGTTTGGCATTTGAATTTTTTCAATTACCACTTCCACACGAAAAAGTTCCTTCCTCTTTAGCATGTCTAATTTTTCTTCTCCCGATAATACTTGTTGTCTTGAAATAATATCAAGTGGTTGAGCGTGCTCAACAGGTTCAGAAACTGAAACAATATCCACTTCATTTCCTTGCAATAATAAATTTTGTTCTTGCACTTCCGAGACGCTATTATGAATTTCTTGATTTTCAAGCCTTGAACGTTTTTGAGTAGGTCCTTGTTCACGACCTCTCTTTAAACTCTTCAATATTGCTGGAGTTTGTTCGGAGATGGAAGTAATATTTTGTATAGCTGTGTCGTTTATTGAAATATCGTTACTTTGGGATTCCATTATTCGAAGAACATGAAAATTCATGACTCATTCATTCAAAATAAAATCACCTGATTTTGAAGTCTACGGACAGTGCTGAAATCAGGTGATCTTTCCGGGCCAGTGGCGGAGTGCGTCGATAAATCAAAATTTGACTCAGTGATGAAAAAGTGATACCTGTCGGAAAGGCCATTTAATGGAATATACCTTTATTATTACTTATCAACCTGAATGAAAGAACCAAAATGCTAATACTTTATCCCTGATATATTTGGAAGATCATTAAAAAACTTTTCTCTTCACAAATAACAACATGATTTTAACAACTTACTATAACTTATAATAATAATTTTGTCTCCAACCCAATACGTTACCCTTTAATCGGACATAATGAAAATTCAGAATTCAAAATTAGGAAATTTGAATTCGGTTCAGTAAAACTGATTATCAAATCGCAACATAAGATTCGATTATGGTTAGGGTTAGAGTCACTGTTAAAGTTATATTGTACGGATTGTTGTAGTGTAAAATTTTTGCAAGGAACTAGAACACAGTAAGTAGTTTCATAGGCAAATTTCAAGATACAAGCTTTTTTTCAAAAATAAAATATTTTCCGATCTTTGCGATTACCCTTACTTTTTTGTTACTACCGATTATAAATTTTGGTACTAGCTCGGAAAAGACCACCTGATTCAGCACTGCCCCTAAGTACTGTCCGACAACGATAAAAATTGAAAAACACGAAATTGACGCGATGACTCACGGTTGTAAAAAAAAATGGACTTACTATATAAAAGACAGAATTCGTATTTTTTTTGGTTCTCTAGTATTCTAGACATGATGTAAAAAAAGTTACTGTCACCTCATAAGACATTTTCTTTGTGCCGGATTTGTTTTCGTGACAGTAACTTTTTTACGTCGTGACTAAAGTACTAGTTCTCCTTTCGTCTTACTTATTGGTTGTCCCTTGTTTGTACAGCGTCAGTCGGTGATAGCGCAGGTAGTGGACCGTTCTCCTGCTTTTTGGGAGAAATCACTGTCGGGTTTCAAAGAAGACCAGTTGGATTGATGTTTAACCCTCTATAGTTCTGCCGTATGGGTTGAGCTGAATCATTTCTTAATTGAAGATAACTCGACTCTTAGTAGAACGTATGGTTTTATAATCCATTTTTTCTGATGACTCAGGAATCACCTGTACGGACGGCTCTGGAGGATACCTACTGTCGAACTTCAAATGAGACCGGAAGATTGATATTTAACTCTATAGGTTCTATCATATGGGTTGAGTTGGAACCATTCTTAATCGAAGATAACTTGACCCTTAGTAGAACGTATGGTTTATAATTCATTTTTCTTACAATACTCGTGAGTTTGAGAACTCTTAGTAGAAGATTACCCGATACTATACTTGAATTTGTATGGATGGGCTTCTTTAGAGTGGAGGTTCGGTTTCCTCCCCCCCCCCCCCCCCCCGGGGGGGGGGGGGTTTTTTTTTTTTTTTTTTTCTTTAGAAGTTTCCGGAAGGCTGGGGGGAAGGTTAAGTTCCTTCCGGGTTCAATTTTTTTACTAATTTT